ATATATTCTCCTTATCTAATAGTTCCAAAAATTTTTAAATTAAAATATAGTGAATTTCTAGATTCATTTGCTTTAATGCTGAAAGGAGAACAAAAGTAATAGTTTGAAGGAAAGATTATATGAAAATATTGATAGATTGATATAGATAAGACATGAATGGTCTTTCAGTCTACTATTTATTTCCTTTATTTTTTACAAGAATTTATTTGAGTGCAAACTGAAAACCTACTATTTATTTTCTTAACAATTAAAAAAACCTGCTACAACTGTTACAACTAGACTGTTACAACCTCTGACTTACCAATATTTAAATTTTCTGTGACCTAATCTGTAGACTGGAGCATAAGAATAGCTCACTGATCTTTTGTGACATCAACTAAATCAACATATATCTCTAAAACAACAATTTTGTTTTTTATTAGGATGAGCCTCATGTCTTTCCAATGACTCAGGGCTTATATTGTCCTCAGGTCTGTCAGACATCCCTCCACCTTCTTGCACACAATGCTAACTCCACATATTTTCTTGTTCCTGTTTGATTTGGGAGTTTAGTGGGGTATGTTATCACGTATTTTGTTTTAGATTTTGGTATGTGGGTTTTTTGTTTTGCTGTCAGAGCTGTTTTCTGATTTTATGACAGAATTGGAGAGATTCAAAGCTACCCCACTGCCACAACTATCTTCCCAGAATTTCCCCCACCTTGGCTTCATAAAGTTTTTGTTTCCCCATCTGTTAAAATAATGAGAATGAAACAATCTCCTAATTCCCCTTTCAACTCTAAGATCTGTGACTGTATAAGGTAACCTTATTTGGTGGATCCAAAATTTTGAGGAAAGGAGTATATGAGATACTAACGCACTTTCATTTTTTTAGACCCTGCATGTCTAACATTAAGTTGCTATGTGCTAGGATTATATTTTGTCCCCTTATCAATACTCATCCTTATATCCATCCACCCTAATAACAAACAAAGAGCCTGTATCTTTGTTTCTCTAGGTACTTAATCAGGTTTGTTGTGCTGTTTGAAGCTATAAATAGCCACACTATAAATGTCATTTTTCAGATACATAATAACCTAACAGGCCTGATTGCTACTTAGAGGTGAAATGTGAGTCTTATGTGTGTGTTTTTTTGGGTGAGGGTGTGTGAGATAAAGTATTCCAGCTTTATGATATAGAGGATTTCTTGCATGCCACCACAATCTAGACCACTTAGCATGAATTTTCTCTGGGATTTAATAAGCAGCTAAGGAAAGCCAATTGACATCACCATTGGGTTAATAGTCAGACTCTAGGAGCTTGGAAAACTTTAATAAATCTAGGCATATTGCCTATAGGCATGTAACAATTTAGTGTTATCAAATAGCCTTGTATAGACAGCTTCTCTGTAGAGGGACAGTCTTGCAGAATAGTTGTCAGGAGAGACTTCAGCAAATGGGGACAGAAGACACACTTGGAATACACAAGGGCAATGTTTCATTCCTCCAGAAGGATCATGAGCTCAACAAATGTAGGTTATGTACCTTTCACCACATTCTCTGAGGTCATACAATTTATATAATAAACATTTATGGGATACCTACCATGCACCAGTCATTTTGTTAGGTACTTTCTTTATCTTTTTAATGTAATTTTTTCTTAATCAAGTCATACTTGCACATGCTTAAAAAAAATCAAACAATACTTTGAAACTCATAAAAAATAGTTGGCCCCTGTTTTATTTCTTGTGTCTTCAATTTATTTTCTCCAGAGCTAACAGCTAATTATCTTAGCTGTTTAATATTTGCTTCCATATAGCTAAATAACCATGTTCGTTGCTACTTCTTGATTTGTCAGTTTTAAATATTATTTATCAGTTTCCTGCTCTAAAGATTATCGTTTAGTTCTCTATGTCCCCATCTATTCAATACAAATATTTATGCTTTCTCATCCTTTCTGTAAAATTATATAATCATTTTTATTTAAGTCAATATTTGTTTACATTGTATGATCATTTAATATTATACATACATAGTGAACCATATATTATACTATATGTCATTTCCTTTCAGATATAACTTATGTTTTCTCTGAAATAAAAAACATTCCTTCTTTTTTGTTTTTTACTTTTCCATGTAAATATCAGTAATTCATTTCCAATTTTCTGACAGAACTGAAATTCTAATACTTTGGGTAGCTGTTATATTTACTGAGTGTTAGAGACATCTCTTCCACAGGCCTCTGTTCTCCTGCCTTAATCTGCACTGGTTGCTCTTCAGTCTGTCACCTCGAGATTCTCATCTGTGTGTTTGTTCCACCTGCATGCTGTTGCCCCCACTTAACTCTAATGCTTATTTGAATTTCCCATTCTTTTATTCTCTTTATGTTTCCATTTGGATTTTTTTCCTAACGAACTATTCCCCAATTCATTAATTCTCTAGGCCAACCTAATCTGTTGTTACATCCATCTATTGATTTTTTAAATGAGATATTTTATTTTTCAGTTCTAGAATTTCATTGGATTCTTTTTAACATAGATTGCAGTTCTGACAAAATTCTTCATCTTGCCATTTATTTTCTTGCTTACATTATCATAGCTATTTTGAAGTCCTTATTAATAACCGTGATACCTGGACTACCTGTTTTTTTTTTTCTCTTTTGTTTTTAGTTTTTGTGTTTCTGGCTTAGTGGATGATTTTGACTTAATGCTGGATATAGTAAATTAAAATGTATAGATGCACTCGATGATTATTTCTTTTTCTAGAAAAAATTTCATTTTCTCTGGCAGGCGGTTAGAGGAGGGATGGGTCACCTCAGTACATTTGCGGTAATTTTTTTCAGTCTGTTCTTACTCCTAGAATATTTCCTTTCAGGGAATCTCCACTAAAACTCTGGAGCTGTTTATCAAACTTCTTATTCTTGGCAGGCTTTGAATTTCAATTTTTGTCTTCTTGACACTGTGGTCAATTCAAGACTCTGCTTCACTTTTAGTTTCTAACTGCAGATTTCTGCTTAGTTTCTTGGCTTCCAATCCTGCACAATTTAAAAATGAATCTGCAAATGCCTTGATAAGAAAAAGTTCCAAGAATACCAGGTTTACTTCTACCAGTGGTCCCCTTTTCTTTAGGATAATGGATCCTCAAATTTTGGGAGCCACGTATCCCTCATCTTGAATTTGGGTCTCCCCAGACCACTGAAACTGACACAAACTCTAGACCAATCTTTTTGTTCAATTTGTTCAGTGCCCCACAATGCAAATTAACATGCTCTGAGGGAAAAGCATCAGAGAATGTAAGGTTTACCTCAGTATGCTTCCCTTTTCTCTATGATCTTGGCTGTTCAAGTCCTGACTTCCTTCATTGTTTCCAATGCCTAAAAGAGCTGTTTTTATACAACTTTTAGTTTGAAAACTCATGACTTTCAGGACTTGAAACTTTTTTTTTTTAGTTTTAGTTCTGTAATAATTTATGTCCTTCTATTTTTCTTTTTCTCTTTTTCCTTTCTGCAATTCCTGATATTTTGATATTAGGCTTTCTGAATGGATCACTTAATTTTTAACTTCTTTCTCATTTCCATGTCTTTGTCTCTTCCCCTGGACCTTATTCAGAGAAGAACCTTTGATCTTATGACTTGGGGTATGAAGCAAGTATAGATACTGGTGTTCTGAGAGCCAGATAAGGGCTGGGCTTGAGCATAAAGGTTGTTCTAAATGTAAACTTTCCCTCAGTGCCCCTGTTTTCAATTTGTTACTCACCTATGCCTTCAGCTATAATGTCTGTCCCTGAATCCTGCACTTCCCTGATTCATCTTTTCCAGTACACTTCAGTCTTCAGCACGGATGGAGGAGAGAGATTTGTCTATAGTTTTGTTTTCATTTCCAACTCCACACCTAACTTTGGAAGTACTTGGTGTTGCCAGTTCTTGAGACTTTCCAGGCTCTATGGCACAATTAGAATGAGCCACACCATCTGGGCCAAGAAGCTTTTGATTTGTTTCAGTCTCTCCCATCATGGCTATTTCCAATTCAACCTCAGCAATGCAGCTGGAGTCATTGTCCCTGGTTAAAACTGCTGCCCTGGGGGTAAGAGAAATCTCTTTTGCTCCCATGACTTTATTCATCATCTATATGCTGATGAATCACAAATTTATATCTCTAGC